ATAATAGGCCATTAAAAGTACCAAAAATTTAGATGTTAATTACTAGATATGTCAATTCTTTAAAAAGCTAGTTAACCTATAAAGGAAACACTAATAATACATTAGATTCTTCATTTTGTTGTGGTAGTGTTTTAATTACAAATACAATTCCTAATTTATTATATTTATAAACTATATCTAGATTCTTTTAAAGAAATTATGATTTTATTCGTATTCCTTCTGAAACTAATTTTTTAGTATTAAAATGGGTTTTTTAAATTAAACAAAATTAATAATTGAGCATATAAATCAAAAAAAATTGAATTTTCTTTTTTAATATTTAATTTTAAAAACAAATCATTTTATTAACAAAAAGAAAAGAGATAATAACGTGTTGGCCTTCCTTTAAGAAGCAAAATAACAATTTATAGAAGGGGAATAAACCACTTCTTTACAAGATATATACATGAACAAAAAGTCGAATCATGTACTTTTAAACTTTGAAATTGCACCTCTGTTAAATTTAAATTTGCATACAAAACTTTAAATTAATTTTTTATTAGTTAATTTTGTGTATAACTTGAATCTTATTAAACGTTTTTGGTAGAAAATTTATTATTTGATATATAATAATTAAAATTATTAATTGTATTAAAATATCTAAAGTTAGCTAGCATATTAAAATACTACGGGAGTAATATAGTAATGCAAATTATTGTATGCATACATCCCCAAAAATTATATATAGAATTGAAAACTTCAATTCAATAATATGTAAAAATATTCTAATATTAGTAGTGTTGAGTATTTAATAACAAAAATCGTTTAAACTTGAAGGGGCTATTGAGTGTGAAGATTACGGAAGGTATTAAGGCTCTTTTTTTTTTTTTTTTTTTTTTTTAATTGCTTTCATAGACTTTATATTGAATAACCTATATGTTTCATAACCCTTTTTTAAAAATGAAATCTGATTTCATATTAGTTTTCACAAATAACAAGTAATGAATAAATAATTTTACATCATAAAAAATATTAATAAAACATTTTAACTTGTAAATAAAAATAACATTTGAACATCAAAATTTCTTTCATAAAAAAAAAAAAAAAAAACAATTAACCATTAAACATTCTAACTTGTAACTAATAAAAAATAACAAATTAGCAATAAAAATTTCAAACATAAACAATTTTGTAATTGTAGTTGAAGTGGGTTGTGTGTTGTGGCACAAACAAAAACATATGAAATGTTCTTAAGGTTGGTTGTGTATATACACAAACATCAACTCTTAAACATATGAAATTTCATAATTGTGGGTGAAAATTTTTAAATTCAAAAATTTTACCTGTGCGAATCTAAGATTGTGCGACTTTTAATCTACCGACAGTCGCTAAGAGAGTTTAGAGCGGATGGCCATATGGCGCTGCTGGCGACAGGCAAAACACTGGCTCTTTACACGGCATGGGAATGGTACAACAATACAAATATGGGTTTAATTTCCAAGGGAAATTGAAGCTTAACACGAATGGGGTTAGAAAATGAGCTCAGGGTTAGCTAGTTATTCGGGATCATGAGGGGCGATGAATTTGTGGGTTTACTATAAAGATTGGGTCTCACATACGTTGAGAGAAGGGAATCAGTGTTTTGATTCCCGGCTAACTTGGACCAAACTAAAGATTGGGGTGCCACAATTTTGGAGCAACAAGTTGAGAAATCTTCTAGCAAGAGGCTAGGCAAGTGTGGCAACAAGAATAGTTAGATAGATATATATATATATAGGGACTTGAGCGCCCCTCCATATCATCTATGAAAAATGATATGATTTTACATTCTAATGGTGTGTTGACCCTCTATATGGTAAAATAAAATGGCTATTTTAATTTCCAAATGGGGTTATTTTAAATTGATGACACATTATAGTATTCTTCTTACATAAATTTAAATATAGAAAAATATAAAAATTTCTTCTTTAGCATTAATAAATTTAGGGGGCCCTAATTTCTTTTCATTTAATGCTATACACTAAGAGATTTTTTTTTTTAAATGTAAGGCTATATATATATATATATATATATATATATATATATATATATATCAAATTATATCGTGAACTCGGTTCCAAATTGATGTTGTTTTGTTTAAATTAGGGTCACTTTTTTTTTTTGACCAATATTAACCTTAGCAGTAAGCTCATAATTAGTTAACTATAAATATATCATGTGAAGTGTATGTAAATAAAGTATGAGACGTCGTTTTGGAGGTCCTCGTCCACAATATAACAATTGGCAACATATGCACCTCCCTTGGGTTTAAAGCTGTATAATAGTTCTTGAACGTAATATTCTAATTTTAAATTTTGTTTTATGCTTTAACTTCATATTAAATCTTATTTCATTTTTATGGTAGAATAAGTAACATAATTAAAATTAGTAATTGTATCAAATATTCTAAATTTAGGATATTTAAATATGGAGTAAAAAAGTCATTAATAAAACAGCTAGTATGCGTATATTCATAAAAAGTATTGAATTTAAATATTTAAAAAGGCACACCAATAGCCCTATATATTATTCACAAGTGTTTAATTAATTCCTTCTTTTAAAATAAGAACAAATCGGGCACATTTACTTCTAAAATTGTGTTCATTTAGTATTTTCTCCAGGTTTCCATCACGTAACCCTTCCATAATGCTGATATGGAATTTAAACAAAAATAATTTGATGACTTGTTTCATTTCTGACTCATTCATACCCAGAGAAAAATCGCTACTCTCTCCCTCCTCATCCTCACCACCATTATCGCGACTACCGATATGTAAACATAGTATACCAATAGTTTGTTCTGCTTTGATATTATCACTGAAAGTTCCCGAGTCTTGAATGCAGGAAATTTAGTTGGTTCCTACTTAATTTTAGACAAATTAATTATCTGGATTACAACATGTATCAGACACGGAGACGAACATAATATAAAAAAATAATTAAAAGCAGATAAATAAAGGAACTAGGAACACGCAATATGTTTACGCAATTTAGAGAAACTTTTTCCTACGTCTGCGGGGCCACTCACTCCAAATGTTTACGCAGAATTGTAGTCTGTTTTGATAGTAGAAATGTACAGAGTATGTTATTTTCAATCCAAGCAGGATTGTGTGTTCTTTGATGAGTTCACAGTGATATATAGATTTGAAGCATGTTGTACAGTAATTTACACTCCAAGCACACCATGTTTTATAAAGTGCATACATGGCCAACGTGAACCTAAGTATTATTTTCCAAAATTCATGAGCATGTGGTATGCCATTACCTTGTTGCATTGAGAAGTTGTTGAGATGTGACATGCATAAGTTTGGTGCATGAGATATATATATATATTATCTATCCATATAAGTGAGGTTTTGGAGGACCCGTTGGGACTATGTCCTTTCGGATGATGTTGACTGGGTATTGCGATCCGATGTGTTGTAACTCGGTGTATTCCTACGTTACGAGGTTGGAAACTACCCGCCAGGCTTGGAATCCTGGTCAGGGGGTGTGCATGCTAAAAGTTCGATACCTGATTCCACAGAATTGAGTTTAGAACCAAGAGAGTGGTTCAGTGGATGAGATTGAGCATAGGTCGGTTAGAGGCCGTACTGGGATAGGTTAGTTCACGCTACGGTGAAGTTCCTACCTCATCCATTTGTAAAGCGAGTCATTGCGACTCTAAGAAAGCGAGTCATTGCGACTCTAAGAAATGAAAGTAAGCGAGTCCTTGTGGCTCTAAGAAACCTCCACAGAAAAGTATTCTATTTACAAATGAGTGTATAAGTATACTTATCCTATAGCATCTTATCGCATTTGAGTAAAATATTGCACGAGATTTCATAATGAGAATGTTTGCACGAGATTGCATAATGAGAATGTTTGCACGAGATTGCATATTCAGAATGATTACCCGAGATTGTATATTGAGTATGAATGCCTTAGTTGCATATTGAAGTTGATATCTCTTAATTGCATGTCGAGAACTTGATAACATGAGATTGTTATGGAGTTTTTCTATAGAATTGAGTTGTGCTATGTTGATCATGTGTTAGTATGATTATGTTGATAAGTTGTTTATTGTTGAAGCATGTCTGTTGATATTATAGGTTGCGAGCATATAGAAAGCTTGTGGTTTATCTTAAGTTTGTCTAAGTGATTGAATTGCTTAATTTGAGAATGTGAACAAATGCTTTTCCAAAGTATATACTGTAGTATTTTACAGGGTTGAGTGTGGTTATACTTAGCTTCGTGCTAACGGATGTTTTCTACTTGTTTTCTTGTTGTTTTGCAAAACCCCTTTTAGGTGGGCCCAACGTTTGAGAGTTGTTCGAGTTAGACTAGTGTAGTTGATCTAGTAGTCTAAACTCTTGTTTTATTTTATGATATTATGGATTATGGTTGTAGACTTTTGTTTTTATGTTTGGTGATAGACACCGGGATACTTTTCCCAAGTTACCTTAATTTAGTATTATCGAATGTTAGTTTGACTTAATGTTTAGTTCTATCCTTAGCTTGTGCAATCACCGTGGGAAGGTGGTTGTGGCGGTGACATTCCCACTAGTTTGTTAATTAAGTTTGATTTTCCGTTGCTTGGTTTATCTTATATTGGTTTTAGAACTGTAATTAAGTTTAAGAAAAGTGGGGTGTTACATACTACCTCCACCAACAACATTCATTACTCAACAACCTCGTACCTTAAATGAAGCATGCTCCAACCATATCCACACCTCTTTGCTCTCCTGCGTACTATCCTCCTACCACCCACAAAACAACATCTCTCACTACCCTCCATAACCCCACAATGGTCTCCATCATCAAACAACCTTTTGACCTGGCGGAAGACTACTCGGCAATGTCTCTACAGGACGATGAGGAAGTGGAACACCCTATTGAAGATGGTGACAACTCCGACACTCTGTATGAAACTCCGCTTATCCTGTTAGGAAGGCGCGCTCCTCACAGAGAAGACAACACGTTTCAACTTTCTGAAAGATACCATGGCCTCGGTATGGAAACCTAAGAAAGGAATGATCGCGCGTGAAGTCTCAACTAACCTCTTCCTCTTCTATTTCGTTCATGAGCTTGATATTCAGAAAGTCCTCAACGAAGGCCCATGGTCCTACGAACAGAGCCTCCTCCTCCTCAAGCAGATTGAACCAAACACTCCTCCTCATGGAATCCATCTAACCCATGCAGATTTTTGGGTCCAAGCTTATAACATCCCCACCGGTATGCGAACTACGAAAACAGCAAAAATGGTAGGAGCCTTCATTGGATCTTTCATTTCGGCAAATATCAGCATTCTTGAAGGCCTCTGGAAAGATTTCATGCGCGTTCGTGTCAGAATGGACGTCTCAAAGCCCCTAAATAGGAAGATGAGGGTCAAACCCTCCTCTGGTTATCCTTTTTACATTGAGTTCAAATACGAACGCTTACCTACTTTCTGCTTCCTCTGTGGCCTAATTGGACAGAATGAGTAATCTTGTGACATCCTCTTTGAACCAAATCGAGGAACGATGGAAAAGAACTACAGTCCGGATCTTAGGGCTACCGGACGACGAACTCAGCCCTGTGTCGGTCAACGATGGATGCTCCCTGAATTACCTCGCCACCAGATAACTGGAGAAGCATGAAAGTCTACTTTCGCCCCTACGGACTGTACTAATCAGACAGACATTCCTTTTGAGGAACCTACAACTCAGAAGGAAAAGACCAACATGCAGTTTTCAGTCACACAGCCTGGAGCTATGCAAGGCATTAATGATATTCGACCACCGCATGGTAAGTATTTAATGCAATTCGACGAAATATCCACGGACACAGTTACAGAGGGCATGGATAATGGGCTTACCGTTTGGTCACCATGTAGTTCTAACTTTGATGCAGTTGGGCTTAAGAGAGAAAATGGATTTTGGGCCAATCCATGTCACAAATTTTACTATCCATCAAGAGGATGTTCCTTTATCCGACGGGCCAAAAAACTTGCTTGGGGTAGGTCCTGTGATGAAGGCCCACCAAAATCGATGAGTCTTCTAGCTTGGAATTGTCGTGGGTTCGAGAACCCGGCGACAGTTCAATTTCTTGTGGATTTGATCCACCACAAGAAGCCCATTCTTATTTTTCTTATGGAAACTCTTTTAACCTCTAATAAAGTTCTTGCTCTCAAATCCAAATTAGGCCTCCCAGGATCTTTTGTTGTAGACTGCGTTGGTCATAATGGTGGTCTTGCCCTCTTGTCGGCAGATAATATTTCGGTCTCGATTCAGAGTTACTCAACCAATCATATTGATGTTAACTTATCTCTTCCAAATGTGCCTAACCCATGGAGATTTACCGGGTTCTACGGTCACCTAGAAAGATCAAAGATGCGAGATTCGTGGCAGCTTCTCCGCGATCTTTCTACTCGCAGCAGTCTCCCCTGGGCTATTATGGGCGATTTCAACGACATCAGATGCCCAACCGAGAAGATAGGCCGTCATCCTCAACCACGTTGGCTTATGGAAGGCTTCAACTCCGCGATTGATAGTACAGGTCTTTCTGATCTTCATATTTACGGCTATACGTTTACTTGGGATAGAGGCAGAGGCACCCCAAACTGGGTCCAAGAATGTCTTGATAGGGTTCTGGTATCGCAACAATAGATGGATCTTTTCGACAAAGCAGTGGCCGAATCTTCGATTACCCCAGTTAGCAATCATCTGCCAATTTTCCTAAATCCAATTCCTTCTGTGAGGTCTAAAAGAAGATCTAAATTTAGATTTGAAAATTTATGGATCAAGGAAGCCAATTGTAGAACTCTCGTCACAGAGTTTTGGGTTGCTTCAAGAGGCGCTAATTTAATCTCAAGACTTGACTCGTGTAGCAAAGCGCTCTAGGACTGGGGAAAAAACTTACCACCGAATTCCAGCCAAGGATTGACCGATGCCTTAAGTAGATGGACACTCTTAGAAATCGTTTGGACCAATCTGGTTTGCTTGCTTTCTCTAATGCCCAATGAAGGTGCATCCATCAACAGAACACATACTGGAAACAACGAGCGAAGGCCTTTTGGCACATGCACGGGGACATAAATTCAAGTTTCTTTCACAAATCAGTCTCAAAGAGAAGAAGGCACATTGTGATTAATAAGCTCAGAAATTCGGCTGGTATTTGGTGCAAAAAGGTCCAGAGTTAAACGAGGTAATGCACAGATACTTGTATGATCTTTTCAATTCTGCCTCTAGTGACCTTAGTCCCGTTATCAACTGAATCAAGCCAAAAATTACTGATTCACAAAATCAGTATCTTTTAAGGCCTACTAATAGAGAAGAAGTCAAACGGGCAATTTTCTCTATGCACCCCGACAAATCCCCGGGGCCGGATGCCGGATGCCGGATGGCTTCAATCCCGGCTTCTATCAGGCTTTTTGGGACGTCCTGGGAAACGATATCACCTATTTGTGTAACAATTTTATTGCTTCTGGAAAGCTTCCTCAGGGGTTAAATAGCACTCACATTGTGCTCATCCCAAAAAATAGTTCCCTGGAGAATATGGGAGACCTTCGCCCCATTGCACTTTGCAATGTGGCGTATAAGATCATTGCAAAGAAAGCCGCGGGATCAGAGGGAGAAAAGGTAGATGTGCAGAGGATTTTCGGATATATTGGACTTTTTACTCTCCTTGGCATTTGGTGGCTTGATAAGGACCAAAATATTATTGCAAGTTCATGTCCACTAGGAAACCTATCATAACAATAACATTTATTAGTTGTTTTCCTTTAGGGTTCATATATTTTGTGCATAAATGGTGATAATGTTTTCTTCTGATCCAAATAAATGTTAATTCTTTTGATGTGGTTTTTATGCAGTATGGCCATTATATGTTCTTGGGATAGAACCTAAGTTCGGTTTCCCAAATTGTGTTTTTGTTGCCGAAGTCCTGCTACTGAATGGCTTTGTTGGAAGCGTTATTGCAGACTATTTATGGTAAGAGTAACATCTTAGCATTGTGCCTTCAATAAGACCTTAAAACAAGATTTGTTACTTTAGATATGTTAAGAGTCTCATATTTTGGAAATGATTAGATAGAACATATGGGTTTATAAGGTCATTACTTAGACGACAAATTACGATATGGATCAGGATTTATCTTGCATTGTGGACCCTGATCCTTCAGATGCGACCCTGACTAGCTAATTGGTTGGATTCAATTTAATGATGTTAACAGTGCATTGTCTGTAATTTGGACAACTCCGCTAGTAGCAACTCTAGGCATATCCTTGACCATACCTCTGGCTATGTTAGCAGACATGGTAGTCCACAGGCACCACTATTCTCCAGTGTACATTCTAGGATGCATTCAGGTGCACTTCCTTCGATTAAACTCTCTGTCGTTTTAGTTCTTTTGTTTCTTCTCATCTCTTTTAAGTATTGCGTTTCACCGAGTACTGCAATATTCTACAGGTTTTTGCTGGATTTGTTATGGCTAACCTTCATAACAAGACTTCCACTGAAGGTTAATATTTGAGCTAGAAAAAACCGATTGAACCCCTTGTGTGTAGTGTGTACTGGAGGATCTAAAAATGACTGATAAAATTTATTGTGAGTTTTTGTATTTGGAACAAATGGAAGAAACTAGTGTCAACCGGGTCATTATTGTTTTCACCATATTTTGGATTATTATTCTTGGATTCTTCTGGTGCTAACTTTCGCTAGTGTAGGGGAAAAAACTATGTTATGATTGATAATGGATCTTAGCGCTGTATTATACTTACTTCTCAGTAAGTCACCCATCCTGTAAACATGGAGATTTTGGTTATCTGGTTGTCAAATCTTTTTTAAAATCCATTGGTGATAAGTGGGTTGACATTAACCATTTAATCATATCTCTCTATGGTAAGTCACAGCGTGAATCGAGTAGGGGCTGAACTCAGTCAACCCAATCATGCCCAACAATTGAGATGATTCCAAAAATCTCCTGCGGTGTCCCAAAAATCTCCCATCTGCTTTTCGCAGATGATAGCTTTCTGTTTTGTAAAGCTACCATTCTAGAAATCCAATATGTGAAACTTCTACTTGATGACTATGCAAATGCTTCGGGGCAGCTTGTGAATTTCAACAAATCATCCCTGTTTTTCAGTCCAAATGTCTGTGATTCTTTGAGATCCTCTATTTCCTATATTTTGCAGGTTGAAGGAGTTGGGAATTCTGGTTCATATTGATATGTTGATTAAGAGAATATCTTTATTATTAGTACTGATTAATTATCTTTACTATTAGAATTGATTTATTTCCTTTAGAGATAGCAAATAATTAGGGTAAGGAGCTTTAATGATTCTCCTTTCCTTTTTATGTTTTTGTTAGCTTTCCTTTCCTTTTTATCTTTTACTAGTCTTTGTAACCCTCTTATATAAAGGGGATTTTCATTCTAATAAAAGGACAAGCAAGAAAGAAGTTAAGTTAAAATCAAGAGGTGGGAAAACTCTCAAAACGTTCCTATTTTCTTTGTTCCTTAAATTTATCTCTCAACATAGACAACCCCAATAACCTTAATCGCCCTTTGACGCGTGCTTTCGCCCGAGAACATAACATTTTGGTTCCGTTGCCGGACGTTAATGTGGGCGATATCAAGAAACTCCAGGACGAGGTCCGAGCTATCCAGGCATCCATCGAAAAACTGGAACACCTTCCTGCAGCTGTGGACTCTCTAACCGAAACAGTAGCCAATCTCTCACAGATGGTGCACTATTTCTTCACATCGCAGGCCACTACTTCTACAATTGTGACAGCCTCTCATGGCAACCAAGCCACTCCGGAGACCGCACTGCCACGGCCAGTTGCTCCCATTCCGGCTACACGATTCACCAAATTGGAGTTCCCCACTTTTGATGGCAAAGGGGACCCTCTTGTTTGGCTCCATCGCTGTGAGTTGTTCTTTGATAAATCACCGCATTTTGATCATGAGAAGGTTACCACAGCAGCGTATTTTCTGTTCGATAGCGCCCAACTGTGATACAAACGTCGCATGCAGGATGGTCAACAATTTTCTTGGAATCAATTCAAAGATGCATGCACCCTCCGTTTTGGACCACCCCAGAGCATCAACCCGTTAGGTGAACTGGCAAACCTCAAACAACATGGTCGGGATTTAGACGAATTCATAGATGATTTCCAAACCCGCCTCGCTAGAGCTGACAACGTCCTTTATTCTCAACAAGTCAATCTGTTCACGGCCGACCTTGATGAGGTTCTGCGAATAGATGTTGAAAGGATGCGGCCAGTTTCTCTTGATGAGGCCATTAACATAGCACGAGATTATGCTCGTAAAGGCCTCCTGCTTCACAATGCACCTCCCCGACAAACTTTTCCATCCCAAACACCCCCTAGTTGCGCCATAACAGTGCACTAACAGCCACAATCACGCCCTCAGTTCCATAAACTCTCCCCGACAGAAATGATAGAGCGCCAAAAGCGAGGCCTCTGCTATAATTCTGATGAACCATGGGTAAAGGGCCATCGTTGCAAACAACAACTATACATGTTTGGCTTTAATGGCGAAGGGGACGATGAGCCAATTGACGCAACGACCCCAGACTAATCCATTCCCACTTTTCTAGATTTCAAGCTTGAGGACAAGCTTGATGTCCAAGAGGGGAGTAATGATATGATGATTAAGGGAATATCTTTATTATTAGTACTGATTTATTATCTTTACTATTAGAATTGATTTATTTCCTTTAGAGATAGCAAATAATTAGGGTAAGAAGCTTTAATGATTCTCCTTTACTTTTTATGTTTTTGTTAGTCTTCCTTTCCTTTTTATGTTTTACTAGGGTAGAATGCCCCGGTAGAATGCCCACAACAAAGAGTCAGGCTCAACCACCAGCGACGGGTGGAGGTCATCCAGGCAACCGGTTCTCATACTGGAGGAGCAAGGGAAGGAGATCCCGATCGAAGAAGAATTCTGCAAGACGTGGTGGAGGGTAGCGAAGAGATTCCAGAACTTGGTCAGGGGAACCGAGATCGAGAGATGGCGGAACTCGCTAGGGAGGTGAGAGGCCTCCAAAGGAAGGTCGAGGGTAGGGGAGATCGACCAACCGCTCGATCTCTGTTGTCTGCCAGTCCATTCTCTATGAAAATCCAAGAATATCGCGCGCCAAGAGACTTCAAGTGTCCGACAATGCCTACTTACGCTGGAACAGGGGACCCCAGCGACCACTTAGTCGGCCTCCAGGCAAAGATGATGGTAATAGGGGTGGAGGACCCCATGTATTGTCGCGCCTTTTTCTCAACCCTGGGTGTGGCAGCGTAGCGTTGGTTCCTATCTCTACCGCCTGGGTCCATCGACCACTTCGAAACCCTAGCCGAACAATTCCTAACCTACTTTGCAGGAAGCATGAAAGCAAAGAAGCACTTCATGACCTTGACTGCAATACAACAAGGAGAAACTGAGACACTAAAAGAGTTCTTAAAAAGAGGACAGAAGGAGGTACAGGCTGTGGAAGATCTTGACGATCGAACGGCCCTCACTTTATTCCTGGAAGCCCTCCGGTCAGGGGATCTGTTCGCTAGTCTGCGAAGGGAGACCCACGACACATATGCATAGGCCATCCAGAGGGCCAATAAATATGCGGAAACAGAAGAAGCTTTGAGACAGAAAATAAGGCGAGAAGCGAAACGACCCCGTGACGAGACGAGAACGCGTCCGTTGGACCGACCGTCTAAACGGGAAGAGAGATCTAACGCCATACGGGGGCCACTTCCCCCTCAACACAGGCAGTCCCCGCCCTCGGGGCGAGGCACGTGCACGAAGTCCAACCACCCCGACCTACAGAGAACCTACCGCCAACACCTACAAAGGCGGAGGAACGGCCGGCCGCGGGAAGAGCCAGATACTGTCGATATCACAGGTCCACGGGACATTCTACCGAAGAATGTACTACCCTACAAAAAGAAATCGAGGAGCTTATCCAGAAAAGACAATCGACTACTCGCCCCAACCAATGGCGAAAACTTCCATGGGCACCAGCCCGGGACCCTCCCGGCGAACTTAGGGATAGGCCCCAACAGAAAGCACCTAACCAAGAAGAGTGGAATCCAGAAGAGCAAGACGATCGAAACTGGAAACACAAGCGTGTGATCCACATGATTTGCAGTGGGCCTGCGGTTAGAGACAGCTCTCACGTAAGGAAACGTTGGGCTAGACAATTATATGTAGGCGCAGTGCAACATAGACCCCCCATCAAGAAAGGCCGGAGGGACATCATCACCTTCTCTGATGAAGACCTCCCGGACGACCCAACACCACACCGCGATGCCCTTGTCATCACCGTGGACATCAACGGGACCACCGTCTGGAGAGTATTTGTAGACACTGGCAGCAGTGTCAATGTCATGTACCTCGAGACATTTAACAAACTGGGACTGTCCAGAGAACAGCTACACCAGGTGCAGACGCCACTTGCTGGGTTCACCGAAGATAGCGTAGAGGCTGAGGGGTGTCTCACCTTGCCCGTGGAAATAGGAGAATACCCAAGGGTCCGTTCCCTAGACATGGAGTTCGTGGTTGTTAACATCAATTCCGCGCACAACGTAATTCTAGGACGTCCGGGATTGGAGGACCTTGGGGCTGTGGTGTCACTCTAGCATCTGAGCTTAAAATTTCGAACACCCGAAGGAGTGGGGATCGCTAGATGCGATCGCCATGTGGCCCGGTCATGCTACTTCCTCTCTTGCCGACAAATTGGGAGACGCGACCTGCAGGTCCAAACTATCACCGAGAAAACCAAAGGAGAAGAGACTAAGGAAAGGCCGGAACCCGTAGCCGATTTAGAAGAAGTAGCTTTGGAAGACTCGAGACCAGATAGAACGATCAAGATAGGCAAAGGGTTAACAGAAGAGGTCCGCCTGAACATCTTACAGACACTGAAAGAGTACAAAATCCTGTTTGCTTAGGGACCCGAAGACATGCCCAGAATCAACCGATCGGTCATCACCCACTGCTTATCCATCAATCCGGCCACCCGACCAGTCATGCAACGGAAGAGGCACCTAGCGGCAGACCGAAGAGAATTCGTGAAAAAAAGAAGTTTCCACCCTACTAGAGATCGGTCACCTCAGGTAAGTCACCTATCCCGCTTGGGTGGCTAACGTTGTGCTAGTACCCAAGCCCCCAGCATGGAGAATGTGTGTTGATTATACTTACCTCAACAAGGCGTGTCCTAAGGACCCTTTCCCCTTACCACGAATAGACCAACTGGTAGACCAAACTGCCGGTTGCGCACTACTTAGCTTCATGGACGTCTTTCGGGGCTACCACCAAATATTTATGGAAGAACATGACGAAGAAAAAATGGCATTCCTAACACCTGATGGAGTCTATTGCTATAAGGTGATGTCGTTCGGCCTGAAAAATGCGGGGGCAACATTTACAAGGATGGTCTCCAAAATATTTCACAGCTTGCTTGGGAAAAGCGTGGAGGCCTATGTGGACGACCTGTTGGTAAAAAGCAAAGAAGCCCCCGAGAACTCTCGAGACCTTAAAGCATGCTTCCAGCTCATGGAAAGATACAAACTGAGATTGAATCCAAAGAAATGCGCATTCGCTGTCCGTGGGGGAAAATTCCTAGGATACATGGTCACACAGAGAGGGATAGAACCAAACCCCGAGAAAATAAAAGCCATACTGGATATGCAACCGCCAACCAACCTACTCGAAATCCAAAAACTGACGGGACGACTGGCAGCCCTTAGCCGTTTCCTCTCCAAATCAGCAAAGCGGTCTCTACCGTTCTTCGAAGTGATCAAAAGAAGAGAAGGGTTCGAATGGACCCCTGAATGTCAAGCATCGTTCGAGGAGTTAAAGAAATATCTGTTATCCCCACCCCTACTAGCCAAACCCAAAGAAGGTGAAACCTTATACCTTTACATGGCGGTATCGGAGCAGGCAGTGAGCTCCGTTTTGGTGCGGGAAGAAGAGAAGCTGCAACATCCAATATATTATATCAGCAAATTACTAAGAGGGGCAGAAAGCCGATATACACCCCTAGAAAAGATGGTCTACTCTCTGATCACCACAGTACGGAAGTTATTCCCATACTTCCAAGCCCACCCCGTAGAGGTGCTAACAGACCAACCACTCGCCGGCATCCTGAGGAGCCCAACTTCCTCCGGTCGAATGGTGAAATGGGCTATGGAGTTGACCCAATATGGGATTGAGTACAAGCCCCGACCCTCCATCAAGGCACAGGCCCTGGCAGATTTCATCGTGGAATGTACAGCAAGAGACCAAAGAGGGAGAGCAAGTGATTTCAGCCAGAATACATGGTGGGAAATGAGTGCAGATGGAGCAGCCAGCACCAAACACTGTGGAGGGGGAATCATGTTAACCTCACCAGAAGGGTTCAAAGTATACTACGCCCTAGACTACCAGTTCAAAGCATCAAACAATGAGGCAGAATATGAAGCGGTGATCGGAGGCATACGGCTTGCGACCGCCCTTGGAGCTCATAACCTTCGCATTCGAACAGACTCACGACTTGTTGTAGGACAAATCAAAGGCACCTTCGAGACCAGAGGGGAGAACTTGAGGATGTACAAGGATGTTACTGAAGGATTGCTAGGAAAGTTGGACGCTTACGAAATACAGCATGTGCCCCGCACAGAAAACATGAAAGCTGACCTACTCTCGAAGATCTCCCTGGGAGGTACCCCAGGACACTTAGCACACATATGGAAGAGAGAGTTCATCCACGCGCCCAGTACAGAATCCCTCCTGATCGCAATGCTAGCCCCAGCAGGCATCCGATCCCCGGATAGCTGGATAGGAGACCTAACCAGATACATCACATCAGCAGAACTTTCCTCTGATCCTGTACAGGCCGCAAAAGTCAAGCGAAGGGCCCCAGCCTACCAGCTGGTAGACAACCAACTGTACAAAAGATCCTTCGGAAGACCCCTACTAAAATGCCTCCCGCCAAGCGAAGCCAAGCAAATAATTGAGGAAGCCCACAGCGGGATATGTGCAGCTCACCAGGGAGCGAACACCCTGGCCAGAAAATTACTGGTCCAAGGATACTACTGGCTCAGCATGACACAAGATTGCATCCAAAGGATCCAAAGTTGCCATACTTGTCAAAAGTTTGCAGAAAAGCAAAACCGACCGGCCACCTTCTACATGCCGGTCACCACAGCCATACCCTTTGCTAAGTGGGGTGTAGACCTCCTGGGACCGCTACCCCAGGCGCCAGGGCGCCACAAGTTCTGCATAGTCGCCATTGACTACTTTACTAAGTAGATCGAAGCCGAACCATTGGTAACCATCACCGAATACCAGTGTCGCAAATTCCTGTGGAGGAAAGTGATCTGCCGTTTTGGCCTGCCTGAGCATCACATCACTGATATTGGCCGACAATTCAATTGCAAGAACTTTGCAGAATTCTGTGAAAATTATTCTATCAAGCACACCAAGGTATCGGTGGCTTACCCCCAGGCAAACGGGCAAGTAGAGAATGCGAACAGAACAATCATGGATGGACTAAAGAAACGAATAGAAGAAAAAGGCGGTGCATGGGTCGACCAACTCGACCACATCCTGTGGGCTCATTGAACCACACCGCGACGGGCAACCGGGGAAACCCCATTTAGCCTCACGTATGGGTTCGAAGCCAAAGTCCCTATCGAGGTCCTATGCCCCACGAGTAGGGTGCAACAATATGAGGATCAGGCCAATGAGCAAATGCTGCAACTAGAAAAGAATTTCCTCGAACAACGAAGAGACGCAACTCAACACCGAATGACAGAATATCAACGAGCTGTGAAAAGATACCACGATGCGCGCGTAAAGCCTAGGTACTTCGACATAGGGGACCTAGTGCTCAGAGATAGACAAGCCGCCCTACCAAATCAAGGCGAGAAAATAGCCAAGAACTGGGAGGGCCCTTACAAAGTCTCGGCAATCATCAGACCAGGCACCTACAAGTTGGAAACTATGGAGGGCAAGCTGATCGAGCGTATTTGGAATTCCAATCGCCTCAAGAGGTTTTACCAGTAGCCCACATGACAGTTTCATAACAAATCTCTTTATGTACTACTTACCTTTACTAGTTTCGCAATAAAATGTCTTTATTTTGGATTACACACCTCATGATTCGCGAAAATAGAACACATTACGACATCTCAAAGACGCTAGGTCATAGCTAGCCCCGCAAGGGGCTAACAAACTCACACCCTATTCAAACCAACCTGAACCTCCCTAGAGTTCTTACGGTCGATCACTCCGACTAGTCACCCCAACTGGTCATTTCGACAAATCAATAGCCAATTCATCTTACGACAAATCAGCGGTCCACCCAACGCTTGGTGGACAAATATACAACAAGGTCACGCATGAAGCAATAATCAGATCACAGTGAAACAAAATGAATGGGGCTACTAGGATAAAGAGCCCTACAATATCAGGTGGTGGAGAATCTAATAATGGGGAGTTAAGGGTGAAGGGTTTAGTGTAGTATCTAGAGGCTCTAGGAGAATAATCTGGGCGTCATAGGACATAGGACTGAGTCTAGAAGTCACTAGAGTATTAAACAACGCCAGTAGAAAGCATTCAAATAGAGTACATACTGACAGAGAACGGGAGACGTTCTCAAAAGTTTTTTATGGATGGGCATACTGGCAGAGAACGGGACACGTTCTCAATAGCCACTGGAGAATGGGCATACTGGCAGAGAACGGGAGACGTTCTCAATAGCCACTGGAGAATGGGCATACTGGCAAAGAACGGGAGACGTTCTCAATAGCCACTAGAGGATGGGCATACTAGCAGAGAACGAGAGACGTTCTCAATAGCCACTGGTGGATGGGCATACTGACAGAGAACGGGAGACGTTCTCAATAGCCATTGGTGGAACGGTATACTGACAGAGAACGGGAGACGTTCTTAAAAGCCATTGGTGGAATGGCATAATAACAGAGAACGGGAGACGTTCTCCAAAGCCATTAGTGGAATGGCATAATAACAGAGAACGGGAGACGTTCTCAAAAGTTTTTTTTGATGGATGGGCATACTGGCAGAGAATGGTAGACGTTCTCAATAGCCACTGGTGGATGGGCATACTAGCAGAGAACGGGAGACGTTCTCAATAGCCACTGGTGGAGGGGCATACTGTCAGAGAACGGGAGACGTTCTTAATAAGCCTTTGGTGGAACAACATACTGACAAAGAACGGAAGATGCTCTCGAAAGTTGAGCAGGGTGGCCAAAAAGTTGTTGAGTTAAAACTAAAATCAGCATATACAGAACAGAGCGACCAAGGTACCAACTATCCGGTGTACATGCAAAATAAACAAAATAGAGCGACCAAGGCACCAACTATCCGGTGTACAGGCAAAATAAACAAAATAGAGTGACCAAGACACCAACTATCCGGTGTACAGACAAAATAGAGCGACCAAGGCACCAACTATCCGGTGTACAGGCAAAATAAACAAAATAGAGCGACCAAGACACCAACTATCTGGTGTACAGACAAAATAGAGCGACTAAGGCACCAACCATCCGGTGTACAGACAAAAATAACAAAATAAAAGGACGAAATCATCAACTACCCGGCGTATGAGCAAAAGTAACAAAGCAAGAATGTCGAAGTCGCCACAACCACCAGAAGCAGGCCACATGTACCCTAAGGAGCGGAAGCATAACCTGAGGCATCCCCCTGCTCAGCTTCGCCTGGGTCCAACTCCCCAAAGGAAACGCCAACGAGTTCCTGAAAGTCGACAGATGAAGTAAGGAAATCAGGATCCAAAGGGTTCTCTCCTCCTCCGCCCGCACTCGGCAATGGCTCGAATCCAGGAGGAGGCACAACAGGGGCAACACCCATCGGCGCAGAAGGCTCCCCGTTCAAATGACGATCAACCCAGGGATGGTAAGGAGGTGGGAAACCCAAGTCTATCGGCTTAAAATGGGGATTAGCGGACTTCATAACACCATAGATATCCTCCTGCATATGCCGCATCCCCTCATAATAGTCCTTCGACGTCATGACACTAGCATACTGAACACCTGCAGGAGTAGACAGCCACTCCTTGCTGATTATCGCCAAATCCTCAAGAGTCTGACGAATCGCCTCCAATGCATCCTGCCTAAAAAGCTCCGAACCACGATAATCCTCTACGGCAGAACGAAGCAACTCCTCCGCCCTTCGACGACCCTCCTCGGAAGCCCGCTGCGCCCGAGCCGCAGCTCTGGCCGCCAAGCCAAGTTCCACCTCGCGCACCTGACCCTGGTAACGGGAAGAAAGATCAGTCAACTGGGCAGACAACTCATCTACTTGGGCACGGAGATCCCCTGCCTCCGAAGAACACGCTCGATAACGCTCGAAGGTTTCCATGCCAACCGAAGCAGCCTAGTCACAAGAAAAATACCCAGAAAGTTAAAAAGAAGAGCATAATAAAAGAAAGCTTAGCAACCAAAGGAAGGCTATGACAATTATGAACGCACCCGATAAAGCTGAGCAATCAACCGCTTATGAAGATCGTCAATTCCAAGAGATTTTAGAGCCTGCCGATCGAGAGGGAAGATAACACAATTTCCCCACTCTACGGGATTAAAGTTATGCCGCTTGCCACTCATGGTGGAATCCTCCCAACCATCCACAGTCAGGGTCAAAGGTTGCGACTCCGACTCCGGTGGCGCCTGCCCACCCTGGTCGGACTCCTCTCGAGCCCTCTTCCGCAAAACCCGTCGACGAACCTGGCCCCCATCTGACGGGGCCACCGCGGCCTCGGAGGAACCTAAACTGAGCCCCGCGCCAACATCATTAACTGAGGAAGGAGGGAATAAACCTGAAGACCCCCCCTCGGGTCTTTTACCCTTATCTTGAGAATTTGCTGCTGAGGGGTACGGGGGAACTGGAGGCTGAAAGGTCTGTGACCGAGTCTAGCAACGAAACTGTGCACAAAGAAGTTCCCCACGGGTGGCCATCACTGTATCCACTATCCAGTCGGCGAGTCAATGGAATAGGAAGAGTATCCGCCTCTGAATCCGATCCCGCGCCAGGGCTAGCTGAAAAATAGAGAAATAATTAGCAAGGCGGATGATAAAAAAAAATTAAAAAAAAAAAAAAAAGGTTCTCGAGGATGAAGAAGATGAGGCGCACCGGAACTCTCCGTAATCACCGCTAAGGCCACGCTTCACCGTAAAAAGAAAAAAAAAGGGGGGGGGGGGGGGGGGGGGGGGAGGAGGGATGGTTGAGAGATGCAAAGAAGGGGTGTGGAATGACTTGAGAAGGTAAATTTGTTAAGATTTGAGAAAACAAATGCAGAGCACCACAGCCACACTCTACGCACCTTAGGAGAGCGGGAGCAGAGAAGGGATGTGATATTTGAAAATGGTTTTGTCTTGACAGCCAAACTTGGAAGAAGAAGAAAGAGGGCATGCTTCACTGAAGGGAGTACTTAGCCATTTATTCCTTAATATTGAGGTTCTGTGAGTTCCAACACCTGACAGGGCAGGACATAGTTAGGAAGAAAAGGAATTTGCATAGGGCTTGACTTCCTTGTGCTTAGCTCTAGTTTTCCTTATTTACAGAAAGCTTATAATAAGTGTATGAGCCAACGTACAACACATGGGCTCACCCTTCGGATAAAGAGTAAACCCCCTTTAGCCGCATATTCTGATCACTTAAAATAGTGCAATGGTTGAGATTCCTCTTGCCTGTATTTACTCGCCTCATAAAATCAGATGCACAGAGCCACGTTTTCCTTTGCGCAGCTACTGAGAACTGACGTGGATATATGCACATGCGTATTAGCTTTCATAATCCATTGGTATAAACTGTCTTACAAGACAATCGTTATACCCTACACCACGGCGCACATAGCACTGTGCGCCACGCGCCTCCCAAAACGACGTCGTTTTGGGGTCGTTTTAGGAGGCGCGGTAGGAAGTTGCTGGGGATTATGTGTATTTGTTCACACAGTTATGTGTATTTGTTCATACAGTTATGTGTATTGGTTCATACAGTTATGTACATTTTTTATACAATTATGTACATTCTTTTTATACAATTATGTACATCCAAATCAGAAAATTTGTGTGTATTATGTTAATAGTTGATGTGTATTATGTTAAAAGTTTATGTTTATTATGTATTATGTTAGATTATGTGTATTCTCTTTTAAAAAGAGTATGTATATTTTGTTATATAATTATGTACATTCATGTATACAATTATGTGTATTCTAGTATAACATTATGTACATTCTTGAACAGCGAGTTTTTTTTTTAAAGAAAAAACTA